TGTAAAAGCAGGTGTGGACATTTCCCAAATATTTGATCCAGAACTGAGCTCAGCCTAAAATGGACCACAAAATCGTATGTCGTGGTACAAGCATTTCTTTGTGGAGGGTCCACACTAGCCTTTACCAATATGTTAGCTCCCTAGACTTTATGGGCAATCAGTTATCTTGAGATTAAAAACCCTGGTGCAGGCAAACCCTAAGTGTTTGCAAGGTCCTAAAAGATGAACACACTATTTCACCCAAAGGAAACAAAGGCCAAATTCATCCCTAGTGAAACTCCATTGAAATCAATCCACCTCAGGGCTGGATTCACTTTTAAGGTATTTAGTTTAATATAGAAAGACAAATAAGGGCCTGATTCTCCACTTCATTACACAGTGTTACACTGGTGCGATGTCACTTTCCTCTGGGGAATCACAGTGATGTAAAACCAGTGTAACAGTGGAAAATCAGACCCTCAATATTTTACTGGCCTGATGGGTCTTCTGTAGTGCTGTATGGGACCTGATAGAGTTGGGCAGCGTTGCAAGTAGCTTTAGAAATGAATTTTCACACTGGAAATACCAAAGTATATAGATGAGAAATAATTTGCTTAACCAGTAGCTTTATGTATTTCCTTTTGCTATTATGCAAGATGTCTTTACTTGAGTGACAGCTTTCTCCTGTACAATGAATGGATGCCTGAAAATCTCCCTTGTCATGTGAAAGACAGCTATTCAGGTCTCAATCCTAACTGCAGACAGACCCTTGCAAAGTCAGGGGAGTTCTGCAGAGGGCAGGGGTCTACTCACATGCATCTAGTTGCAGAATCATTCTCAGGCAGGGCCTGTCTTTTAATGATATGTGTGCATAGTGCCTAGAGCAGTGGGGCTTGATCTCTGAATGGGGTCTTTAGGTGCCACTGCAAAACAAATACATTATTATCATGATGATGATGATGATGAATTATGTGCTAAGTATCACTAGAATTCATCCTGCAGCAAAGGAAATCCCCACAAGGATAGGCAGAATGTTAAGGACTGTGTTTTTATTTGTCTTCATGTTTGGGTTTTTGGTCCAATAGTCACATCCAAATAAATATAATATTGGGCCAGAACCATGCCCTAGGTTCCTGCTGGAAACAGTCCACACCATCCTTCACCTCTGTTCTGCCAGTGACCTGGAACTAGCCAGTGCAGCTGTGGGGGGAGGGGAAGCCGACCCAGACGAAGGTTGAGCCAGGTTGGCTGTGAGAGATGCTGATTCAGCATCTTTCCTAGGCAGCCTCTACAGACAACGCTGTGTGCAAACCAGGCTAGATTTTAAAGCTTCCTTACTCCAGCAGAGCAACCTAGGGAGGGGGAAGGTGGTGATACTGCCACAGCCTTACTCTGGGTGTGAATCTTTCCCCTACACCCCCCCACCGCCCGCTCCCGGTGTAACTGCCCTGCTCGGTGCTGGACATGCACGTTTTGCCCAGAGAGGCAAATGCAGCCTGTTGCCTCTTGCAGCAGTATAGGGCAAGAATTGTGGCTTACTTGTTTTTGTCTGCCCCTCTTTATTTTCTCTGCCTGCCTACCTGCCTTCTATTTGTTTTCCACTCTCCCTCGTAGTCACATTGATCCTGCCTCCGCAGGTCTTTCCTTGAAATGATTGTCAGTGTCATTTCATAATACTGAGAGTCCTCCTTTCTCACTGTGCCTGTTGGTCAGGGCCGGCTCCAGCATTTCTGCTGCCCCAAGCAAAAAAAAAAAAAAAAAAAAAAGGCCGCGATCGCAATCGCGACCGGCGGCAGCAATTGGGGGGGGAAAAAAGCCGCGATCGGCGGCGGCAGTTCGGTGGTAGGTTCTTCGCTCCTAGAGGGAGTGAGGGACCTGCCGCCCCCGAATTGCCGCACGTGCCGCCCCTCTCCCTTGGCCGCCCCAAGCACCTGCTTGTTAAGCTGGTGCCTGGAGCGGCCCTGCTGTTGGTTCAGGTCACATTCCTAATACTAATGGTGCTTGGTAATGATTTCCAGAACTATTTCAAAGGATAAACCACCTGTTGTGCCATCACAGCCTGATGCAAACAGGATTCAACTCCCTAGTTGTAATTAGGAATGAGGACCACTCTCTTGGTGTTATATTCTGCTCTCATTATGAATCTGGAGTAACTCCATTGAAATCTTAAGTGAGAAATCATCGTAAGTTTAATATTCTGTCTGCCCCTAGCAGCTCAGGTTTTGTTCATTTGTGTTTTCTTTTTGTTTATTTGTTTTTCTTTGTTTTCTTTTCTAACTTTTAAAATTTTTGATATGTGACAGTTTATATAGTGTGTCTACAGTGAAGGCTGGGTTGGAGTTCAGCACTATATTCGAGTCAACTGGGTAACATCTTGTGTTAAGTTTGATTTTCCCTTTAGCGTATGGTAGATATCATAAGTAAAGTACTGCAGTGATAGGATCAGGTAGGGTTAGGTGATGTAGTGGTTAAAAATGTTTTGTCACCATCTCACATTGGTAGCATCTGGGAAACTACACCACTGCAAAAAATTGCTTATGAATTTTCATAGTGTAATCAAAGCCATGTAGGCATTTTTTTCCCAATATTATCTTCAGCAAATGTCTGTTTGTAGTTCAATTTAAAAAGAACAGCAGACTTCATTGCTGACAGAACTGTAGTCACGCTTTTGAAAGGCCTGATTTTGTTCTTGGTATGAATCAGGAATTAAATCAATGTAAAGCTGGGATAAGTGGGAACAGAGTAAGGCCCTGTATCTTTAGATATTGTTTTGTGTGAGAAAACATTATAGGCTATTAAGATAAACTGTTGATTGTTCTGTTTAGGGAGTGTGTAGCCAAGTAAAAGTTAATCAGGGATTATATTTTTTTAAGCACTCCAGGCATATGTTATAATTTAACAATTTGTTGTGCATCTTTATTCATGATTTTATTTTTCTACTTTAAACATTTTCTTTTTTTTATAGAAAAGTTGTTGGTAGGGCTGAAGAAGTAAATAACAGACATCCTGTAAAAGCGGCTGAGAAACAGACTATGAAACATAGAAACCTATTTGTTTGTTAACACCTTCTTGACACTGGCATTTGTGGTTAAGACAGCGATCATTGTAAGGCCATGTCTACCCTACCATTATAACTTCTTTTTAACCAATTCATGACAATTTTTCCTCACCTGATTACACAACCATGACTGACTTGTGCCCACACAGCTGCTTTATTCAAAACACAACCATATATCTGCACCCTCCACGCTCCCTAGCTTAGTTTGTATCGCTGTTTTCTCACTGCATTCTGGGAAAATCTGAGCAGCTGTCTCATAGGGAACAGAGCACCTTATGTACATGCACAAAGTAGGGCATCGGTAGCATGGTAGGGAAGTGCATTCTGGGATGCACAAAGACTTAGGAGGAAGGACGGGATGTTTATATGGATCGCAAGACTGTCTAGAGTTACAACAGTTAATGCTAATGTACGGGGAGACTTTGGCAAACCAGTAAAGTGCCTAAAACCACTATGGCTTTTTGTTAAAAAGCAACCTAGTCAGCAAGCTGTAAATTGGCCATTCAGCAAACTCAGCTTGACCAAGGCAGGAGGGGAGGGGGTTTTGGGGTGCCACAGAAGGGGCAGCTTGACCCCGCGTCCTTCCTGATAAGAATTGTGTTGAAGTTGCTGATACATGCATTTTAAAAGAGCAGGAATGTCTATTGGGGTCTCAGAGCTGCAGACTCTGGAAAAACCCACACCTGGTTAATCAATAATTAGAAGGAACCTCTTGCTTGAAACTGAAAGAACCCCGGGTAACACTAAGGGTACGTCTATACTTACCTCCGGGTCCGGCAGTAAGCAATCGATCTTCTGGGATCGATTTATCATGTCTTGTCTAGACGCGATAAATCGATCCCGGATCGATCCCGGAAGTGCTCGCCGTCGACGCCGGTACTCCTGCTCCGCGAGAGGAGTATGCGGAGTCGACGGGGGAGCCTGCCTGCCGCGTTTGGACCCGCGGTAAGTTCGAACTAAGATAATTCGACTTATAACGTAGCTGAAGTTGCGTATCTTAGTTCGAAGTGAGGGGTTAGTGTGGACCAGCCCTAAAAGAGTACTGGAAGGGTTTAAAACCTCATGCTTCAGGGTGTATATTAGGAGGAGACCTTCATGGGGACAGATTATCCCACATCTGCCTGCTATAGGGTTTATTGGGCCTTCCTCTGGAACCCCGCCACTGTTGGAGACAGGATACTCAACTAAATGGATCATGGGTCTGATCCAGTCTGTGGAGTCCAATATTTCTATGTAGAAACTGGGACCAGCCAAACTGTCTACACTGGCACTGTTATGGGGTGATATGTACTGTTGTGTGTGACAAAATCAAGTGTTTTATGCTTTGAGTTTTTTTGTTAGAGAGACTTGATATTTGTTTGAAGACAGATTATTATTCTGCTGTGACCACAGACATCTCACTCTGCCTTTGAAGGCAGACCGGGACTCGGAGGGATCAAAGAAAGGGAAAACACAGACAAAAACAAAAAAAGAATCACATGAAACCACAATGGGAAGATTGAGCATTTAAACAAATTACATTTTAATATAAAAAGTCAGGTTAGAAGTCACAACAAACTACAACTTTTCTCTTAGCCTCTTTAAAACAAAGCTCTTAAATGTCTTTTCTGCTTACAAACATCCCTCCTGGGAGGCTAACTTGTGCAGAGGGCCGATACACTAGCTTTCCATCGCTGCAACCCTGAGTTCAAACCCAGCCTTAGATCACACATGAAAGAGTTTGATGATCTCATCCTTAACCCTTTATGTATGCCCATCATAAAACTATTGCAGAGTTTCACCCAGTTACCAGTCTTTGCTCAGGAATAGCAGGAGTGCTACAATGTCAGGACTGAGATGCATTGAATGTGTTGAGAAGCTTACACAGAGCCTGCTTGTACTATATCAGTCTAATGTGACTGTTACATAAGCCCTTTCAGGAATGTGAGTACAATTAACAAAGCTGAGACCCTCTCTGCGGTTTTTATAATGGATACATGCTTGTTGCTTCTACATTGGGTGAGGCAGTACAAGTTTTCGAGCCCTCCTCTTCAGTGGTTTGCCATTGCTTCACGATACCTTGGCGCTTAACACATCTGATGTTCTTAATGATTTTCTGGAAGTTCTTCCTGAACTTCACCCCAATAAAGAAATACAGAATGGGGTTGAGACAGCCATGGAGATAAGCAATTGCTTCTGTTATGACCACCGCAGAGTCGAAATTGTAGTCCAGGTTGAATTCCACATGTATATTGCGTATGAGTATCAATAAATTGTAGGGTAACTGAGTAAGAATGAACACCACTACTATAGAAAATATTATTTTTAAGGATTTGTGCTTTTGGAAACTCCTGGCATGAAGTAAAGTTTTGATAATTATTGAGTAGCAGATAATCATGGTTAGCATGGGGATAAAGAATCCAAGGGTCATTTGGAGTACTTTAAAAACCAACTCTATGAGATGTGAAGGGTATATTGCATGACAGACTGACTTATCGTAGTTCGATTGTCTACTGTATTTAAATTGTGGCATTGCAAATGCTAGTGAAATCACCCAAACTAAAATGCAGATGACTTTCCCCCAAACCATTCTTTTGGCTTGACACATGTGGGCTTTTGTGGCTTGGGCAATAGCAATAAACCTGTCAATAGTTATACAAGTGAGCGTTAACATTGAAGTGTACAGATTCAAAGTGTACAGGCCCCGTATAATTTTACACATCAAGGAGCCAAAAATCCACTCGTGAGCAGCAGAATATGCCCAGAATGGCAAGGTGGAAAGGAAAAGCAAGTCTGCTGTAGCCAAGCTCACTAAAAATACATCCGTCAATGTCTTCAGTTTCTCACAGAAAATGTATATGATAAGGACCAAAGAATTTCCTATCAGCCCAAAGGCAAAAGCTAATGCATACATACAGGGCAGAAAGATTTTGCTGGCCTTGAGAAAATGTTCATTTTCATTGTCATCGTTGCACGTGAGGTTAAGGTCTGGGTAATAACATTCTGGAAGCTCCATGTAGTCTTCTTTTTAAAGGCTACCTGTAATCACACACATCCGAAATTATTTTCTCAACAAGTAAAACAATTATTATAACATATCTAGAGGACAGGGACAATGTTAATCTAAAAGCAAAGAAATAATTGTTGTGGTGAAAACCAACATATATTTATTGGTCTGATAGAAATCACATTATCTTTGTGGTGTGGTATAATCTGAACACTGTTTGCTCCAGACAGAACAGCTGTTGAACCTGCATGTCCTGAAAGTAGATGCATCATTTTTAGCACAGATTTACACTGACTGGGACTGAGAGGTTTAATATTTCAAATGCCTCAAATTTTAGAGTAGTTTGGATCAGGACTTTGGTGTAGGCCAGGGGTCGGCAACGTTTGGCACGCAGCTCGCCAGGGTAAGCACCCTAGTGGGCCGTCCCAGTTTATTTACCTGCTGACGTGGCAGGTTCAGCCAATCGCGGCCCCCACTGGCCGCGGTTCGCTGTCCTAGGCCAATGGAGGCGGCCGGAAGCGGCGCGGGCGAGGGATGTGCTGGCCGCGGCTTCCCACCGCCCCCATTGGCCCAGGACGACGAACCGCGGCCAGTGGGGGCCACGATCGGCCGAACCTGCCGCGTCAGCAGGTAAATAAACTGGCCCGGCCCGCTAGGGTGCTTACCCTGGCGAGCCGCGTGCCAAACGTTGCTGACCCCTGGTGTAGGCCCTTCTCTAAAATTAGGGTTTGAGTCCTACTGTGTTTGATGATGACATACCTCAGCACAAGAGTGTCAACCCCTGTTAGAAAGTGTCACTCAGATCCCCCTTCCTCCCCAACACTGATTGTGACAACAGACTGTTCCATCTTGAATTCAGGGAAAGAAAACCCCTTTCATCTACCATTTGAGCTTTGATGGGGGACATCTCTTCCTTATCCTGATTTTAATGTATAGTTTTCAACCATATCCACAGTTTTCACATAAATGGCCACTTGTCCATCAAATCCCAGCTACACCCATGCTATAGGTATCACTAGAGCCCTGCAAATCCACGGATATTTGCTTTATATCCGTGGGTATCTGCATCCGCAGATGCGGATAGCCGCAGATGATTTTTGCGGATGGTGAGTCGGATGTGGATACAATATTGTATCCGCGCAGGGCTCTGGTAATCACTTCTTCCAGAGCTGGTTAGATTGTGAGCTCTACAAGGCAGGCGGCCTGTCTTGCTATGTGTGTGGACATGGCATGCTGTGGCCACAACCAGGACACAAATAATAATAACAAATAAATCCCAACAGATTCCCAAATAAACTCTGCTGCTATTTTTCATGGGATCATATTATTAATTTGTGAATATTCAGATGTTTGCAAATTCTTACGGTTTAAGAGGTTTTAACGTGAATATTTTTTCACCCCAGAACTGCATTTTTCATTATTTGCCATTTGTTTTTCCCCTGCTCAAAAGTTTTAAGCGTCCATTTAGAAAGCAGAAACAATAGCGTCTAGTTTTGGTGACCCATCACACAGCACAAACAGTAGAACTATTCACAAAGTGAGATCCTACTCCACATGACTAAGAATAGAAGAATCTGGCCCCCACTGAGAGTAATATTCAGTGTGAATTTAGCTCTCTTCTCTGTTCATGAAACATTTGTGACTGATTTTCTGCAAATGTATTCATTATTCACACTAGAAAGTTTTGGCCAAACAATTTGCAGCCTATGGTGTTTGTAAACAGTGCAGGTCAATTATTCCTGCCATGTGATTGGTCACTTGACATTGTTTCTTCTTCCTGAGTGGATGACTAAAACTTTTTCAAGTCAATTGTAAAGCCATTGTCAGATGCTCTCTTGAAACTCAAATGGCAGATTTCAATGAGAATACTCATGCAGCAAAGTATTTCTAAATATAAGTTAACATAAGATTAGCAGAATTCAACCTGGAATGATTTGATCTTCTGGATTGGTTCAAAGACATCTATTATTTAAATAATAACATACAAAGCATATGATTAACTGGTGCTACCCATAAGCTTTGGATGTGTGTTGAGGCCAGAAAGCAAAGTCAAAAAGGCCTTCAGCCATTAGAGAAGTGTGGGGAATCCTTGTGTGACTTCTTGAAGAGTTATTGGATTTTTATACAATGATTTCTGTTATCCTTTCAAATTATGTATTTTTTAAATTTAATAATAACCCCCCCTCATAAAAGAGTTGTTACATATCCAGATATATTGGGACAATGGGGAGAGGGATGATAATCAGCAAAATAAAATCATGGCCAACAAAACCATGACAAATATATATTGAAACAAACTGATAAGCCTTATTTCAGGCACAGTTGATGATCCAGTTGATGTTTCAATACTCTCTCAGGGAAGAAAGTTTTTTTTTTCCTGTGAGCTGAAGGAAAATAATGTATACATATTCAATGATATAATGTGACAACATAACGTATTGTAGGTAGCCACATTACAAATATTACAGTACCCTAATGTGGCTAAGGAAAGTGTCTCATTTGAAAACAACAAGGAGTCTGGTGGCACCTTAAAGACTAACAGATTTATTGGGGCATAAGCTTTCGTGGGTAAAAACCTCACTTCTAAGGCTTATCAGTTTGTTTCAATATATATTTGTCATGGTTTTGTTGGCCATGATTTTATTTTGCTGATTATCATTCAGAAGAAGTGAGGTTTTTACCCACGAAAGCTTATGCCCCAATAAATCTGTTAGTCTTTAAGGTACCACCAGACTCCTTGTTGTTTTTGTAAATACAGACTAACACGGCTACCCTCTCATTTGAAAGGTATTTTTCAAGTGAAATGTCTCTGCTTTTTGAAGGCTCAGAGCATTATTTTTAAGTTAAAGAATTTCTTTCTATACATGCCACAAGATAGAACATTGATCCTCTTTATAGCCTAAAATATTTAATGTCTAAAAACTCTTTTCTGCAATTAAGCTGTGTTTTTCTAAATTCTGATGACTTTGTGTTTTTTGGATAGGATAGTCAAAAGCGCTCAGCACTGGCACAGTTCTGCTCCCATCTAAGTCAATGGGAGTTTTACTAGTGATTTAAGAGGAAGAAGAGTTGCACCAAATTTTGAAACACACACACACACATATATATGAGTGTGTGTTTCAAAATCTGGTCTTAATAATAAAATAAAAATATGAATTAGGGCATAATTTCTCTATACACTTGGCAGATCTTGGCTCAAATTATTCTTGCTTCCCTCCATGTGCTGGATCCCCATTGACATCTGTAATCTGCACATATAGGGAGAACAGAATATTGGAGAAGAGATTTTAAGAAGATCTGAGAATTGCATTTGGCCTTTAGAAGGGCCATAAGTTCATGCATTTCCTAGTTAGTTAGTTTTACTGAGGAGTATGACTCATGATTCTGCATATAAATTGGATAATTAACATCATCAACCAGATAAGAAAGGATTAACTGAGGTAATCAATGGTGACCTTTAAATAATTTTTTTAAAATTGGTGATTTTGACTTTTGTAATGTCGAAAGAAGACCCGAAAGTCCCCTCTGCCCTTTCTGGCTCTTGTTCTCTGAAAGAAAAAAGACACTCTTCTTTCTGCTTATTTTTACCCAGGGAGAACCCAGAATGCCTCTGGCAACTACAAAAAAGAGCCCATGCCTGAGAATATGCTGATCTGACAAAACCAAACATTCACCTTGGGGCTGAGATCAAGAATGGAAAATTTCAGGCCCAAATCACTTTTTCCGAGGAACTTATGAGCTACTGAGAAAGGGAGGTGAAAAAAAGAAACCCACTTTGTAATCTTAACTAATGTGTTTCCCACCTGCTGGTGATGTAATATTAAATTATTAAAGGTGGATGTTTTAAAAGTTAATACTTCATGATCATTACAGAAGAGAACAATTCCTGAAATATTTCAAAATATTTCCAACCTATTCTATTGAAGAAGTGATAGAAGTATATATAAACCATGAAGACTAGCTGTTATTGAAATGAAAAATACTAGGCCAGATCCTCGACTGGTATAAATTGGCGTAACTCCTCTGAAGTCAGAAGAGCTATCATGTTTAATACCAACTGACGATCTGGCCCATTCAACCCACTAAAACTCAGACAAGTCAGTGGTTCTTTCTTTTCCCATGTGGTGGCAACTTGTAAAAGGAAAAAGGATAAATAACTTGATTATTGAAAAGAAAGTTATGATTTATTCTTGATATATTTTCACAAATATATATGATATAATTTTAATCAATAGCTCTTATGTTGCATACTTTTAAAAAAATAGTACTTTTTACTCAATTAAGCTGTTATCCCCAATGCACATAGTCTCAAATATTGGAACTGCTACCTTTCATCAGACCATTGATCCAGCTGTACCAATAAAAAAAAAAAAAAGTGATCCTGGCAGTAACCATCCTGGCAAGTGTAACCTCTATTCTTAGTGAGATAATGAAAGAAATATTAAGGGGGCAGTGGGGAGTTATTGAAACTCTTGAGGATAATGGAACTATCCAGGAGCACTGTAGGTTTATAAATGAATGTGATTGTTTTTTGGGACAGATTTACAAAAGTACTGCATGAAGCAGATGTGATATATTTGGATTTTAAAAGTCTGGAAGCTTACTTAAAACTTGAATTCAAATTGGCTTGGATAGGAACAAATGATATGGACTGAAAATGATTGAAATACTGTAAGCTTTAAGTAGTGATCAATGGCAGTGTAGTCCTCGGGGAGCAACGGAGGGATCTGGTACATATTAATGAACTGGAAAAGGGAAGAAAAAATGCAGGGCCAGATCATATCACTCTGTTCTGTGCATGGAATAGACTTTCTGTGCATGGATCTCACTTCTCCTATCAAGAAAACAGGGTAAGTCATCTCCATTACCTCCACTTCTCACCACCATCTGGGACCCCTTGAAAATCCATGAAGGGGGAAGTCTAATAGGTCTTTTTGATCTCTAACTTCTATTTTTCTAGTCCGCTATCCTGCCTCAGCAAAAGAAGTGGGGTGGAGGGAACCATAATA